TGATATTTTGCTTTTCCTACATGCCAAATTTTTATCCTTGCGTATTTTCTTTTCATCTTCAGTTTTTATAGATAATTTCTTTTTTTTGCATGTCAAATTTTTTTTGCGCTCTTTCTTTTTTATATCTGTTTTATTACGATTACGTTTTCTCAATCTCTCATTCTCCTGTCTTATTATTTTCTACTCATATGTAACTTCGCGCCTTGCCTCCCTTTTTCTTCCCTTCTCTTTAATTGCTCGAATTATCTTTTTATCATTTTCTTTACTCAGAAAATTCTTCATTTTTAAATATTCATGTGGTGAAATTTTTTTCACATTATTATCAGTTGTACGAATTATTTTCTTTTCACTAGTGTCATTTAGAGAATGTTTAATTTTTAAATATTGTGTTAATAGAACTCTGTTAATATTATTACTGTTCAAAGTATTAAAAACAGAACAAGAGTTTAAAATATAATTTTTATGTTCCTAAGTTCAATTTATGAAAAGACGGTTCTAATTATTCTCTATTATCGAATTCCTATTGTGAGACGTTCTTACTGCCAGAAAATGATTTAAGCGATTATTTTCAAACATTGACTTAAAATGGTTTCTCATTTTGTTATTATCAGTTTCATAATTTACACGGTTTGGCATTACGTTAAATAATACAGATGTTGCAAATGCTATTGCATATACTCCACACTAAACACTACCAAAAAGTTGTTGATTAACAGCTTCAAAAACTACTGTTGGTTTAAAAGGGAACAATCTAATTAAACATTTTATTTGATGCACATTTAAACACCCCTCATTAAGGCTATCAAAAATATAAAGCCTTACTCTATCGTAATAAACATAAATTCAGTGACCATAATTGTTATTACCGCTAAAAAGTATTTGAATATGTTTAACACCTTCTCTAATTGGGACAATAAAATCAAGCATTTGTACATACAAAGTACTTTGCACATTGAAAAATGAATTGGAATCTTTTCTTAATAATTCTTCAAATTTGTACATATGCATGTAATTTAACAATTTATTTCTATTTTCAATAATTTTTAAATCTTTATCACTTAAAATAACATACTCTTTTATGTTGGCCATAGTATACTTCGTTTAATTTTATTTTTGATTGATGAAAATCTAAATATCTTTAACCCTTTTGCTCACTCTCTCTAATATAACCAATTTTGTCTTTAATTCAATACAACCAATTTTACCTTTTATTAAAAATAACCAATTTTGTCTTTAATTCAATACAACCAATTTTACCTTTTATTAAAAATAAGCAATTTTTCCTTTAATTCAATACAATTAATTTTACCTTTTACTAAATATAACCAATTTTGCCTTTAATCCAATATAACCAATTTTGCCTTTTATCCAATAAAACTACCAAATATCCAAAAGAATGAGAGAACTATGAGTAACTATGAATCAGTAACTACTGATCAGCCAATAAGTGCAAAAAGGACACTCTTATATGAGTAATCACTAGTTCATTACAAATAACATATATACGTATTTATACCTGTATTAAAACCCCGGAACAAATACCACAAAAAAACCAACCATTGGACAATATAGCCTTTGTTAATGGGGATTAACTCTGAGGACCCAGGTAATAATTTCTTTTTTCACATTTATTATATAGAAAAATAAAGATGTACCAACCCTTGGCCAATAGAACCTTTGTTAATGAAGATTAACTCTGAATACATAATGAAATGTACAGTAGGTTTACATTGACATCGGCACGTCCGACGTCTCGAAATTTTTTCCGTGTATTATCACAAGGAAATATAAAGATAAAAGTCAAAAACTGAAGAGGTAATGTATATCTTTCTTTCTCACATCAAGGAATATAACATATAATTTTCATTTAATATTGCATTTCTCTATCCAGAGGATTCAAAATAACATAAGAATATCTTCGCCTAAAAATCTTACTCTTCTTTCTTTCTGTTTTCAAAATAAAAAAAATATGTATATACCAGTATTAGACTCTCAGAACAATTACCACAAACAATACCAATCCTTGGACAATAGAGCCTTTGTTAATGAAGATTAATTCTGAGGGGCCAGGTAATAATTTTTAAATTTTTTTATTAAAATTTTCTGGGGCTCTAATACAGGTAGGGGAGAGTGATAAACAGTGGGACAGTTTAAACAGTAGGTCACTTTAATTTTCTGAAAAACTACTAAAGAAACTCGACCAAAATTTAAATGTAAACCATGTTTATGACAACACACTATCTATACGCATGCGCATTTATACTTACACAGCGACTAAAAATGTGATTTTTTATGCTAAAAAACATTAAAAAATTCAAAATTTATAATTATTACAATTATTGTTCGGCAACATTTGAAAAATAACACTTGATAAGAGAACGACTATTCAAATTTTCCTCCAAATTGTTTTTATGTTATGACGAAATTATGACGTATGATCAGCAGTACTGTAAACGTAAAAAAAAATAATAACAATTTTTTATATGAAACTTGACATCGTATTATAAAAATGTAAAATATTATTAAAATATAAGTGTTTTGCAACATTTGTTAACGTTATTTAATGCAAAACATATATATTTATAAAGTATGAAGCAGAATATTATTATTGAAACAAATATTCATTATTTAATAATAGGTGTCCCACTGTTTAACACAAACCTTGAAAACAAGAAAAATGTATCAAGTTCCAAAAACTTGAAATTTTTCTATTTAATCACAATATAATTTAAATAGAATATATGCATTATGTGGAAAAGAGTTCAAACTTTATGGTAATACCAAAAAGTGGACAAAAATATATAAAATTGAAAAAAAGTGATCTTATGCCATTTTGAATTGTCTAGATAGAGAAACGCAATGTTAAACGAAGAAGTACTTATGTTATATTCCTTGGTGTAAGAAAGAAAGGTATGCGTTACCTATTCAGTTTTAGACTTTCTTTATAGTTTTTTCACGTGATAAAGGGAGAAAGAAATTATTACCTGGGTCCTCAGAGTTATTAATTAATCCTCTTTAAAAGATTGCAGGTCAAGCGAACCCTCATTTTTTGCAAAATAAAGATATATCTTTCTCTCTCCATAACTTGTTCCTTTCTCTGTCACCGAAAACCCAGCAGGGGTCCGGACGGAATGAATGAATGAATGAATACCAAGATTATTATAGTTAATAATTTCAAGTGGCTGTCTGTCCCGCATGTTCTATATATATTTTGTCTGTCCGCATGTATTACTATATAAAATTCTTTCTCACCGCATTTGAAGAGTGGGATCCTTATGGTGTCAACTAGAGAGAGAGAGGGAGAAGCGGAAACCATTTTGTCAGCCCACATTTAAAAAGTGGGATATTTAGCCCTCCTTTATGGTGTCAACAAAAGAGACAAAAGTAAGAGAGAGAGAGAAGTGTAAACCAATAAAATTTTTAAATTCTTCCTTCTCTCTACTTCAATATACAAACAAAAAGGAAAATGATTTTCTTATTGGTTTACATAGATAGCGCATGTCCAATTCATTTTCAATATTTTTACTTGATAATTAGTTAGAAATAATTTTATTCAGTTTAATAATTATTAATAAAAAAAGTGTGCATTTATTTAATGTTCGGTAGTGTTCAACTGATTGTAAGAAGAAAAAACTTATTTTCATCTGTAAAAGTAAGTAATCTTTTTTTTATGAAACTAATTAAGATAAAAGAAGCATAATAAAACTAAAAACTTTGGAATATAATAAATAGATTGCTTAAGACATTTTTTTCTTTAGAATCGAATGAATTATAGCAACTATTGCCATAGCAACTATTTTTATAGCAACTATTACCATAGCAACTATTGCCATAGCAACTATTGCCATAGCAACTATTGCCATAGCAACTATTGCCGTAGCAACTATTGCCATAGTAACTGTTGCTATGCTAACTATTGTCATAGTAAGTAACTTTTGGCATAGTAAGTAACTATTGCCATGAAAGCGGTTACCATGTACGACGGACGGACGGACGCCAAAATGAAACTATAAGGCTTTCGGCCCTGGGTTACGAAACCCTAAAAATTATTACAACTTGCGGTGTACTGTAAAATCCCAAAACTTTGACCTCCTCCCCCTCGGAAAACACGGATCTATAATCTAAATGAAAAAATATAACTTTTTTAATAAAAATTAAATCTTTTCACATATCAACATTTCTTACCCCTCATTTTTTTGGGATTCAGACATAATTTTTTTTTAAATGTTAAATTTAAAAAGTTTTAATTTTTTGTTAATCACAATTTTTCCTTCGCAATTTTTCCAGGTTTCGGACTGGCAGATACACTGAAAGAAAATGTATATTAGATTTCAATTTTAACATCTTATTGAAATTTAATGTATATTTTCGTTCAGTGTACTGGCATGTTTAAGAAATGTGTTTTTTTATTTTTTAAAAATAATAAAAAATTATAAGTCATTTTTAAATTCATATACTTTTATATATGTATATGTATATATATATTTACAAATGCGCTTAAAAAGCACAATAATTATTTTCTAATTCGCAGCTTTGAAAGCTGGTGTGTTTGTAACAAAATGCGCTTAAAAAGCACAGTTTTTCATACCTTTGTATGTTTGTTGTTTGCAGTTTGTTTTCATGAGATGTGTTTTTCTTTGGCAAAATTTCTGAAAAAGCTCACTGAAAGAATCAGTGATATAAAATACCATTAATTATTAATTAAATTAATTAAGTTAATAATATCGGGAAACAGATTTCACGAATTCTAAACGATTTATTTTATTGTCATTGAACTCGTTAATTTTATTCAAAACATGATTATATATTTTTTTTTAATAAGAGTTTTGAAATGTATAGTGCGTAAGGATGCTGTTACATTTAAATTGAGTTTCAACTTGAACTTCCAGCAAAACTTCCATCGTTTTGTAAATTGATGGATGCGTATGATAGAACGACTTATTAAAGTGTGAATGAAATGATTCACATGCATTAGTCGTTCTTGTTAAAGCAGCAGTTTTTTAGGCCCAGATCTTAGGAGAAAAACGTGCTTCATCACGAATATAATTAGAAGTTAAATAATCCGCGAATTTTATCACCCTGTCATCTAAAGGAATACACGATAGCAAATCAAAAGTAAAGCAATGTTTTACTTCTTGCGGATCTAAAAACATTAAACCGAAGCAAACGCGTAACCATTCACCAATTGCAGAATCATTATTTTTATAATCTACTACAAGCCCAAGCTCTTGAATTTTCCTGAACCACGATTGAGACAAATGGAAATAACATCCAATAATCGTTGAACTTGGCCAAACAGTTTTTATGGAATTATGAATTGCAACTTCAAAATCTACAACTAAAGCGGATGGATTTAAATGAAAGCCATTCTCCTCACAAAGCATGCAAAGTTTCTTGAAACAATCAATATAAGTTGTTTCGCGTTTATTTGGGAGTAAACAAAAAGCAAGAGGTATATAATGCCCATTAAAAAAGCCGTGCAAAGTAAAAATATGTTTATAAAAAGCAGTTGCATAATCGAATGATCTATCAGGGTAGATGGTTTCCGATTCTGCAAGAAATTTTAAATTGTTCATAGTTCCAAAAATTATTAAATTTGATAAATTATCATTTAAAAGTACAAAATTTTCATTAAATTTAGTTTTTACTGACATTTTATAAAGAGAAATGTGAGTTTCTAACAAATTCGAAGGAAGTGTAGGGAACATTTTTCTACGTTCACGATATAAAATTTTTTTAACATTTCTAAAATCTTTAATGCTTAAATCTTTATGTTCGGGCGTTATACAAGAATAAATTAATTTTGCCGGCTTTTCACAGGAATTATCCAATGCTTTAACGTTTAACACCAGTTCTTAAGGATTGTTTTTGCAAGTTTACAATATCTACAGGAGGATGACTGTGGATTAAGCAACTTTTATCAAGAAATATTGAACGCGGTACACTATTTGAAGAACATAAAAAGGATTTACAATTGAGTAGCTGCCTGCAATAACTCGCCGAGCGCTTGGCCGCTTGTAGATCAAAAAATAGAGTTAATATATGCAAAACACTTAAAAATTTTATTTCACAAATTTCATTCAATTTTTAAACATAAATCATAGTATCTTTGACAAATTTCAATGAATCTTATTGAAAATTAATATACATACGTATTTAGGTCCATAGAAGACGACAACATAATCAAAAATATTAAAATCATCAATTGTTTATTTATAATTAATTGTAAATGAAGACTTGTCAATAATAATGTTTACTTACCTTTGTCGACATAAAGTGTGTGGGGAACTTCAGAGTTGAAGAAACTTCCAGTGAGACATTTGTTTATCATAATGTAAGGAAGTTTTTTGTAAAATATAAAAACAATTTATCAACAACTTTAGAAAATATAGAACGTTTAAGAAAACATGCGCGATGCACTAGCGAGTCTCCGCGCGGAGAATTGCACACAAGAGTTAAGAAGGACGTTATGTTATGTTGTGATATATTATGTTTTGAAAATGGAGCCAACATACTATCACTGTTGATATGTAACAATACACTAATTTCTTAAAAAAATGAAGAAACAGAAAATAAAGATATACCTTAATATTAATTAATAAAAAACTTATTTGCAAACTGCACAAACAGTACATACAAGCACCAAAATATTTTAAAACTATTGATTATTTAGTAAATATTAAAAAAAAAGTTGTTCAAATTTAATTTGCATTTTCATCAAATTAACACATATTTTATTTGAAAAACATTTCTAAGAATGTAGTGACAATATTTGTTTCTGTATTTTCGGTCCTCTACAACTCTTGTGTGCAATTCTCCGCGCGGAGACTCGCTAGCGCGTCGCGCATGATTCCTTAAACGTTCTATATTTTCTAAAGTTGTTGATAAATTGTTTTTATATTTTACAAAAAACTTCCTTACATTATGATAAACAAATGTCTCACTGGAAGTTTCTTCAACTCTGAAGTTCCCCACACACTTTATGTCGACAAAGGTAAGTAAACATTATTATTGACAAGTCTTCATTTACAATTAATTATAAATAAACAATTGATGATTTTAATATTTTTGATTATGTTGTCGTCTTCTATGGACCTAAATACGTATGTATATTAATTTTCAATAAGATTCATTGAAATTTGTCAAAGATACTATGATTTATGTTTAAAAATTGAATGAAATTTGTGAAATAAAATTTTTAAGTGTTTTGCATATATTAACTCTATTTTTTGATCTACAAAAAAAACTCAAAGGAAAAAAGATGCGCCATCTTATGTCCTACAAGATTGCACTTTTCAAAAATCAAAATTTTGATTTTTCATTTTTTTCACGTTTTTGAACGTTTGACTGGCGTTAGAGCGATCGGCCAAGCGCTCGGCGAGTTATTGCAGGCAGCTACTCAATTAATAAAAACACACCTCCACCGAAGTCCACCACCAGCATAGAATTTATGGAAGCGAAATTTATAATTTTCAAAAATTAATAAGGGTTTACCTTGAATCGTTTCCGATTCGATCGCAAGGAAAGCACGCGCAGGTTCCACCTCTAGTTTAGAAGTCAACAATAGACTGACAGGTAAAAAAAAATAAACAAAACAAAATCAAAAATAGCGCGTTCATTTAAAACAAGATAAAACCAAAATTTGATCAAAATCGGTCACATGTTTAAGATATTTGAAAGTGTAATACATGCAACTATGTATTTTAGAATAAAATGACCAGTTCTAAGCCTGGAAAAATTGTGAAGGAAAAATTGTGATTAAAAAAAATTAAAACTTTTTAAATTTCAACATTTAAAAAAAATATGTCTGAATCGCAAAAAAATGAGGGGTAAAAATGTTGATATTTGAAAAGATTTAATTTTTATTAAGAAAGTTATTCGGGATCATGACTAGATCGATACTGGGGGATTCAGGCGACATAATTCTATAAAAATTATTAACATTTTAAATATTAACATTTTTAATTGGGACAACACATGCTCGTAATCGTGAAATTATGAGGAATGTGAATATGTTAAAAAAAATTAAAAATTGTTTATATTAAAAATTTTATAATTTTCATGAAAAACTCATTAGGGGCCATAAATATAAAATGTCATTAGGCCCGAGAACGCTGCTTAGGCCCCCCGCGGTGCATGCGTCCCTCGAGCTCCGTGTTTATGGCCCGGCCGGTAGAGTGGGGGTATAGTGCTTCCCCACACGGGGCTAACTTGGACATCGCCTGTAACAACGAGCGATAACATCTGTCATATAAGAGTGTTTTGACATTTGAAAACAAATATAAATAAAATATGCTAATATAACCCTCCGAGCCTGGACCTGGGTCGTTTTCGTCTTGTCGTATTTAGAGGTAGAAAAAATGCTTTAAAAAAATTGAAAAAATTTATAGATCTTCATTAATCCTTGTAATTGAAGTAACAATTTTGTTTAAAAAAAAAATTCAAAAGTGAAAATTAAAAATTAAAATTAAAAAATTAAAGGTGAAGATTGTGGCTGTCATAAAAAATAGTACATTTAATTTTGTTTACAAATAAAGCTTAATTTTTTAACTTGAAAAATGATAAAAAATTACTTCAAAATTTTCAATTAAAAATTATATTGACTTTTTTTAATGAAAAAAATAATTGTAAAATAGGCATAAACCAGTAAAAACTCAATACTGTAGTTTTTAATCACAATTTTATTTATTGGAGCAATCGATACAGAAAACTGCAAAAATCCTTTTCTTTAAAATATTTTTTACATTTGTTTTACTTATTTCATTATTATTAAATTACATTATTATTAAAAACGTTTTAAATTATAAAATACAAACATTCTTATATAAAAAACTACATAAAAATGTCAAAAAGAATTTTTCGATCAAAAAAAAATTTTTTTCTTACATTTTAATTATTTTTTAAAACTTCTTTATATTATAACAAACATTTTTACATTAAAAAAACAAATTTTAAAGAAAAACAGAAAAAAAAATTATTTACACTTTTTGCACCTTCCGAGTCCGGACCTGGGTCCTTTTTGTCCGTACGCATGTTGAAGCACTTCTTTTGACGACACAAGGGACACCGCTGTTCTACAATTCGGTAGAGAGGTTCAGGGAAATCACAACTTTTTTTACCAATGCATAAGGGCGCCTTAGGCGGCCGTTTTTGGAATTACAGCAATTTGAAATTTTTCCTGGTTCAAAAACGACCCAGGTCCGTGCTCGGACGGATAATATAAAATAAATAATTGAAGTAACATATTTAAAAAATGGAAATCTCAGAAGAACAAGAGTCAACTTGACAAATTTTAGAAACAAATAAAAAGTAGTTAATGAAATAAAATCATAGTTTTTTCATTAAAATATATTATTTTTTAAATTTACATATTTTCAGTGATGTAGACAATCGACTCATTGAAGAAGTTTTTAAATCGAGGAAGCGTAGAAATGGTGGTTTGTCATTGGATTCTTCATATAAATATTTTATTCAAGATGATATGAAATATGGAATATGTAAAATGTATACCGAGAAACAAATAATTATTAAAATGAAAGATTCAAATACATCTGATTTGAAGCGACATCTCAAAAATTACCACCCAAAGGAATATTCTGCAACTTATCCCTCTGATAAGGTTTTAATTCAAGTATTAAAAATTTTTTAAATGAAATAGGATTTTTAAAATTTTTTTTCTTGCCGTTTTGTCATCATAAGTATAATTATACAATTACAATTTATCTTACTTTAATTATAACAAGTTGTATAAAGAATTATTTTATTTTTATTTATTCTTTATTTTTATACAGAAAGGTGACGAGACTTATTATTGAGTAATTAAATGTAATTTATAGTTATTTAAAATATTTCTGAGCTTAATTATTTATTACAAATAAAAGTTCACAATATTTTTAAAGGTAATATGAATGTTATTTATAATAACTGACCTTTTTTTAAATTAGACTTTTGATCAAGACACATTTGATGTTATGATTGTTGATTTGGTGACAGCGAAATATTTGCCATTTTCATTTTTTGAGGATCAAAAGACTGAAGATGTTTTCCATTATTTGAAACCAGAAATTAAGTTGCCCTTACGCTCTTTTTTAAAATCGCAATGCGAAAAACGATATAAAGAAAAACAAGAGGTGGTTTTAAAAATCTCGCTAGAAAATTCTTCTAAAATTTCTTTCACTATAGATGGTTGGTCATCGCTAGCATATCGTTCGTATTATGGCATTACGGCTCATTTTATTAATGACAAATGGATTTTACATTCCCTAGTAATTGATTTTTTACCTGCCAATGGAAAACTCACTGGACGTGATATAGCACAATTATTTTACAACACCATGATTAAATACAACTTAGAGAATAAAGTGCAAGGGATAACCATGGAAAATGTTACTGCAAATACTAAGTTTATGGAAGAACTGTCAAAAATAATGATCAATTTTAATGCCAAGGAACAACATTATCGTTGCTTTGCACATATTTTAAATCTAGCCATTCAAGATTTTTTAAAAATACTACGAATCGATGACATTGAAGAATCAGATGAAAATAGCTATGGCGAAGAAACTGAAACTGATGA